TATATATATATATATATATATATATATATATATATATATATATATATATATATATATATACCTGAATACCACGAAATGATCTGGGATCATCCAGAATATGCTCAGGTCATCTTGAAGCACAACATTTTAGACATGTTCAGGATGATTCTGGGATATATTGTGCTATTTAGGTAATATTTAAACGCAAAAGATTTTGTTATATAATTAATTTTCTATCGATGAGAAGATTTCTTAATACTAAAAGAATATACGTCTTGACTACACGCAATAATATTAACACTTATTATTTTTTGACTGCGAAAAATTAATTTAACAAGTTTATGAATATGTTAATGTAGTCGTCTCGTCTTTAGACTCGCCAACCCGTCATAATCTGTTGGGAGAAGAATACGATTAGTCATAAAACAATAGTTTGTAAGTTTAACCAAGCGATAAGAATGAATAATATTCTATATATTCTTTATATCTATGTTATCCTATATTTCATATATGATATATAAATAATTATATTTACGTATGTAGTTGATATATCTTATAGGATAAAAAGAAAACATATGTATAAATAGTTCGTCTTTTATTGGAAGTGATGTAGTTTCAATCGCTTGGGTAAACTTAACAACGTATTGAAGTTTAACATTGTCTCTCCCAAACATCATTAGAAAATATATGTATTACACTCATGTCAAATTATAAGGATTATCTTCTTTTTAAATAGATTATTACAAAATGTATCTCATATTCATATTATATCCATAAAAGATCAATATTGTACAGCATGCAATTCTCAAGAGGGTGACAATGTGATTATGATGCAAACGATATACTAAAACGACTTATTAAAACGACATACTAATCCAACAAACGTTGTTACACAATATACAAACATTCTATATCATTTCCATTATTATGAAAAAAAAATCACCTTTTGCCTCTAAAAAACTATATATTTTGGTTTGTAAATTACAAGAAGTGCGGATATTTAGTAACAAATAAGATATAATTAAGTTGATAGATATCTTAATTTTATATTTCGGTATCGCGTGATCTTCGTAAAATATTTTCAAAAACATCGCACGAAACAACTCAGCAATGAGGGCTATATGGACACTTATCATTTTTCGTTTTATCCGCACGCAATTTTTACGTTAGATCTTAATCCAGATTTACAAAAATATTATAAATTCGAAAATATAGTTTTTCTAAATGCACGTTAATGGACAAACGTCTATTACTAAAGAAAGTAATCCCGATATTGACACAACCAACCTTGTGTGTATGATACTTATGTATAATATATGTATATATTATATGTAAATATATATATGTAAATGTGTTGTTTAGGAGACCCACCTCTGATTACTTTAACCTTAATATATGTTATTAAGGATATCCTACTAAGTGACATTCAAGAAGTTTTAGCCGTCGCTCGTTGTTCGTTAAAAAATTATTAACAAAAAAGATTGCATAAAATGGATGTAATTTTTGGACACCGTATATACAAAAACATCGAAAGCATGCACGCACGCTGTTCGTCAGCAAGCGCGCTCGCCCGCCCAACAGAGCGGACTCGCGGTATATATATGCGGTTGCGTATGTATACTCGTATATAATAGGAACAAACGCACCTACCGCAAGCCCGCCTTGCGGACGTGCGAGCGCGCTTGCAGGCGAGCGGTGTGCGTGTGCGTGTGTGTATGTGTGCTGTGTGCGTGAGCGTGCAAGTGAACGTAACACATTATTGCGAGTGACATTACTTAACCTAACTCAAACTAACCTAAACAGGCACCTTTCTAGCGTACAATTCGATGTTTTTGTATATACAGTGTCTAAAAATTACATTCATTTTATGCAACTTCTTTTGTTAATAACTTTTTAATGAACAACAAGCGACGGCTAAAACCTTCAGAAGGTCACTCAAGAGGGTGACCTCTACAACATATGTCAAGGTCAAGGTCATCGAAAGTGGGTCCCCTAAACTTCATATTTACCACACACACACATACACACACACACACACACACGCGCGCGCGCGCGCGCGCGCCACGCACACGCGCACACACACACACACAGGGTGTTAGAAAAGTCTGGAAACGGTCGAATATCTTGAAAACAAACCATTTTAATGAAAACTGTTTCAGATAAAAGTTATTTGGTTCAAAGGGATCTATAAAATGGTGTAATTGGTTTGACCTTGAATAATCATTTGAAGATCATATGAAGGTCATCTTCAATTTTTTAAATGGAACACTCCATATATTATTACATATTCTTATAGCTTATCTCGAGAGATTTCCACTATAATAAAATATTTTTTCGTTAAGAATTTTTCGAGTAATAACACTTGAAATTTCCAGCACTTTGACATAGAATACAAAATATCTCGTAAAATTTTCATTTTTCGATTACCTTGCCTTAATGCTTTTTTGCACAGAATAATGAGACAAATTAATTAGCTTAAAAAAAGCACAAAAAAGTTTTTTATATTCATTATATATATATATATATATATATATATATATATATATATATATATATATACAGGGTGTCCGAAAAGTCTGGACACGGCCGATTTTTTCGGAAACTATAGGAGTTAGAGGAAAATGTTAAATACAAAAGTTGTAGAGTTTCAACCAATCTATCAACTGGTCACCCTTGTTTGACCTTGACGAGTACCGTGGAGGTCACGTGGAGGTCAAGATGATTTTTTTAAATGGGGCACACGGTATTTGGTAAGGTCATGTGAAAGCTGGTCCCGAGCCCTTTCCAAAACCCTGGGCATAAGCCCTTCCAACCCCCTGACGGTGACCTTGAGACGAGTATTAGTGTTTGCATGGCAAAAGTTCGGACACGGCCGATTATTTCGCAAACGGTGGGTATGATGGAAAAATGTTTCGGATAAAAGTTGTAAGACTCCATAATACCTACCGAATGAGCTACGCTGATTGACCTTGACGGGTACCGTGGAGGTCACGTGGAAGTCAAGATGATTTTTTTAAATGGGACACCTAGTATTCGGTAAGGTCATGTGAACGTTGGCCCCGAGCCCTTTCCAAAGCCCTCAGCTCGGCCACTTCACCTCGGTCGCAACGGCGACTGTTCGCCGATCTCCCAGCCAAGATGATGGAAGACCGTAGTTTTTCTAACAAACTTTCCCTAACCGGAGCGTTATCTCACGACTGAATAATTGGTCGCCCTAAACAGGGCGGTTTGTTTTGTGTACGCTTCCAATTGCGCTCACTCTCTTCTCTGACCATCCCGGCAAGGGCACTCCCACCCGTTCTCACTCTTCACAATCTTCCTTCCAATTAGATTCCTTCCGAGGTGAAGTGGCCGAGCTGAGGGCTTTGGAAAGGGCTCGGGGCCAGCGTTCACATGACCTTACCGAATACTGGGTGTCCCATTTAAAAAAATCATCTTGACCTCCACGTGACCTCCACGGTACCCGTCAAGGTCAATCAGCGTAGCCCATTCAGTAGGTCTTATGGAGTCTTACAACTTTTATCCGAAACATTTTTCCATCATACCCATCGTTTGCGAAATAATCGGCCGTGTCCGAACTTTTGCCATGCAAACACTAATACTCGCCTCAAGGTCACCGTCAGGGGGTTGAAAGGACTCATGCCCAGGGTTTTGAAAAGGGCTCGGGACCAGCTTTCATATGACTTTACCAAATACTGGGTGTCCCATTAAAAAAAATCATCTTGACCTTTACGTGACCTCCACGGTACTCGTCAAGGTCAAACAAGGGTGACCAGTTGATAGATTGGTTGAAACCCTACAACTTTTGTATTTAACATTTTCCTCTAACTTCTATAGTTTCCGAGAAAATCGGCCGTGTCCAGACTTTTCGGACACTCTGTAGGGTGTCTCATAACCACCGTAAGATATTTTAATAGTATATTCTGAAGATAAAGTAGAGTAAAAATTCTAATACAAAAATGTCAAGACTACAATAGTTTTTGAATTATATCCGATCAAAAATTACCAGTAATATCGTGTAGAATTCGCGCACTCAAGCCCGTAGTAATACAGCACACATCGTTTTATCATTTGTTATCAACTTCACAGTTAATATTAATTTTTAATACGCAGCTAAAATTTCTAAAAGCATTAATAATTATTAGTGTTAGAATTATTAAATTTAATAGTTCCACACTTGAGAAATAACGATTTTTGCGTTTTTAACATGAAAAGTAATCATGGAAAATAATATATTATTATTTTTGTTTTTCATATTTTATGAGGAGTGAAAACGTATAATTATGATAAATCGAGGCAATAAAATTAATTTATCCACATTTCCTAAATAATTTAAGTTTTTATTAAAATTTTGATATACTGTGTATATGTGTGTGTGTGTGTGTGTGTGTCTGTGTGTGTGTGTGTGTGAAATTATAAAATCCGAACTAAAATAATAAAAATTTAAATTGTTTAAGAAATGTGGACAAATTAATCGTATTTCTTCGATTTATTACAATTATATGATTTCATTTTATTTAAATTATACGATTCCTCGTGAAACGTGAAAATACAAAAATAATAATAAATTATTTTGCATGATTACTTTTTATGTCAAAAACGCAAAAATTCTTATTTCTTAAGTGTAAAACTTAAATTGAATAATTCTAAGAATAACAATTATTAATGTTTATTATATTTTATATTATTCTATATAACTGTACATAATTATGTATGGACAAATTTTATATATAATTAAATATATATGCATGAAAAATTTTTCATCGAGTATCATCATCCGTAAATAAGAAATCGGCAGGGTTGAATAAGTTAATTTCTTTTTTACAAAGTTTGACGTTGATAATTTATAAAATTAACTTATCAAACTTATGAAACTTATTAAAGTTATTTAAGTTAAAGGTTAATTGTACTAAGTAATATTTATGTTTCTTTGCATTATTAAATTTTTAATCGTATATTAAATTTATATGAAATAATGGAAAGATTGTTTTTACAAGAAAATATCGACCGTTTATGCTCAGGATTTCAAGAAAAAACACTAGGAAAATGAAACAGAATTCTGTTGTTATTATTTTTCTACTGTTGTAATTTCTCTTATTCTATTTGTAAGCAGCGCGGAATGATTTTAATATTAATGAATTACTTTAATTTATATAAAAGGTCAATAAGTTAAAGTATTAATGCATTTTTAAATAATTATTGTAAGTTAAACATAATATATTTAAAATTAACTAAGTTAAATTATTAACTTTTTAACTTAACTTTCAATTGATTAAGGGTGATAAACACTACGAAATAAACTCTGTTTAGCGAATTTTTTGTGACGCCAATAAAATACGTAGATAAATAAATATTTTTGCATTAAATTAGTCATCTTTTGAACTGTTGAAAAATATTTTTCTGTTTGATAAAATATATTTTTATTTTGGTATAAAATGTGCCTGTAGTAGCTCTACACGCCTCTACACGCTCCATCGGCCCTGCACTTCGAATCTTTAAAAGTCATCTGAAATAAAAAAAATCCAAGATTTTCTTAAAATATATGAATGTTGTTTCAGTTAAGCATATAAAAATTTTAATATTTTAATTATTTGCAAAATAGCGCATGTTTAAAAAAATGTTCAAAAATCATCCAAGATAAAACTATTTTTATTGGCATTTTTAAAAGAAATTTTAATCGTAAAAAAATCTGTATGCTTAACTACATTCATATACTTTAAGAAAATCTTGGGTTTTTTTTCAGATAACTTTTAAGGACTCGAGGGCCAATGGAGCGTGTAGAGTCTACTACAGACACATTTTATACGAAAATAAAAATATGTTTCATCAAATAGAAAAATATTTTTCAACAGTTCAAAAGATGATTTAATGCAAGAACATTTATTTATCTATCTGCCTTATGGGCGTTACAAAAAATTCGCTAAAAAAGTTTTTTTCACAGTATTTTTTTTCCTTAACTAATTATTACTCAACCCTAAAATTTAGGGGACCTAAACATATTATAATTAAATATTCTATGATTATTTTAATAAAAATTCGAAATAATTCTCTAAGATCTAATTACTATGTCGAATTATCAATGCTACCATGCTTGACATATTTGTTTGGCATGTATATCTTCCTTGATACTAATTATCACATATGAAATAATGCAACATATTTTTGCAAAATTATAATATAAACTTTTTCTTCCGTTACTTTCAATTGTTGTCCCTGCAGCAATACTTGTTACTTTTAATATTATATAAATAAAGGAACATTAAAAGGTTGTTAGCTTAATGCAAAGATAACGCCGTCAACAATCGAGCCACCGTTAGCATTTCGTGCAAATTTTAATTGTACAAGCTCTGGCGTTAGTCATCTGACGGAATGATGGTTCTTACGGTTATAACTGTTTTCAAGTCGTTTTTCCGTTTGTATATGCCATGAGTGACATTGACTATGAGCTGAGGAGACATTTTGATTAAATGTAAGAATAATAGTCTTCGACTATATTTCCGGTCGATGAAATTCACTATAGATGTTTTAAATTGTGGCGGATTTCTACTGTGTCTCTGAAAAAGATTAATTAAGCTTCAGCGATTTTCACCGAAATTTATTGTGAAAACAGCAATTTGAGAAGGGACAACACTGTGAAGGAAATGAATATATTACATGAATGAAGCGTGGCAATTATTACAATTATAAAATATCTAACTTCAATTAAATTTCTCAAATAAAACTGCATTCTAACTCAATGAAAATAAGCTGTTGAAAATAACATAAGCAAGAAGATCAAGCACGTTAATTTTCTCACTGCGTTTGCAAATAATGCTCTGCAAAATAACATTTCTAAATATTAATTTATCAAGAAAGAAGAAATAGCAAAAAAGAAAGAAAATAAGGAGTAACATGCAAAGTTTGTCATACCAAAAGAAAATATTCTCAACAAATCTTCTAAAGGTTCTTACTCACTACAATTAGATTTATTACTAATTTTACTATCGACCGTATTGTCTACAAAACTGCTACGATTTTCTATTTTTTGATTATCACTTCAATTCATCTAAATACTTCTTCTATCCTACATTTTGTTATTACAAATGTAACATATCTTACTTTATTAACCGATATGATACATCGTTACGTGATTAGGAAATTTGATGGTGTTTTGATATTGTGAAAGTTCATTGTACATACTTTTCAGGTAAGATGCGAGGTTTGGCAGAGTCACCTGGCCACTCGTAAAAGCTTGGCAGTGGACTGTCATAGTTGCATTCGTACATTTTACTCATAATAAATTTTCGCTTGTCTTTTGGTTCCGGATATTCGCTCGCCAAACCACCTGTAAATGCGTTAACACAATTTTTAATTCTGAATTCGGGATTGAAAAAGTAATTTTTTTTAAGTAACTCGTTACTTGTTACTTTGTCAAAAAAGTAATTTGCTAGTGTTATTGTTATTCATTAAAATCTTGTTTCAATTACTTTTATTAAAAAAATAACGTTACAATTTCCATTACCTTTTTCACTAAGTTTTTAAGACTTCTTTTTTACGATTAGTTGCTCGCATATCCCATGTATATATTATACTTTCTAAATTTCACGGAATATCACTTTTTTTTAATTTTCGAAAAGAAAAGTAACAACCGAGTTATTAAAAATCCAGTGACGTTTCACTGATATAAAGTGAATTTTTTATTCAGAAAATTTAATATTTTCACTCAAAATTGAAGACTGAATTTAATTTATCTTCGTTATTCCATTATTACAAAAACAAATTCATTCTAATCGACTGAAATACTCACTCGTATATAGAGATATTATAGTAATAAATTAGTAATATATTATAGTAATAAATTAGTGATTGTAGTAATATTGTAGAAAATAAATATTTTCACTCAAAATTGAACATTGAATCTAATTTATCATCGTTATTCCATTGTCACAAAAACAAATTCACTTTAATCGATTGAAATATTCATTCGTATACGGAGATAATATTGTAGTAAAAATTACAACAAAATTTTTATAATTTTAGATCTTACAAAATTAAAATTGATGTTAATATACAGGGTTGGCAAAAAGTCCGGAAACGATCAAATATCTCGAAAAGGATCACCTGTAGCGAAAAATATGTAAGTAGCAAAGTTGTAGGGCTTAATAAAATGTACCTAATGATGGCTAAAAATTTGACTTTGGGTGGAGGACGAAGGTCATACGAAGATCAAATTGAATTTTTTTAAATTGGACCCCCACTTTTTATTACATATTCTTGTAGCTTATTTCAAGGACTTTCCAAAAACCTATAATAAAGTATTTTTTTATTCGACATATTTAGAGTTATGAGGCTTGAAAGGATTTTGGTCTTTAACTGTTTCTGTTTCATAAAAACGAATCACTGTCTTCTGAACGGTGGATTTAGAAATAAAATTGCGATCAGGATATGCAGCATTGAATGTGTAGATCAGTTACTTCTTCGTATTATCTAATATGGTCTCCAAATTTTCGATAAAGAAACAGAATTATCTTTTCTTTATCGGTTAACATTTTTAAAAAAGAAATTTGAAATTGTAGTTGGAAAAAGAAAGGGAAAAGACAAAGATTAAGATGCGAGAGAGCACGACTCGTTTTTAAAATACAAAAATCGAGAAGCGTTATCGTGAAGCGCGGATATGCGCGAGTTTCGACTGAGTACGTGTGATATTACGTCGTGAATGAATAACCGCGTTTGATGAGAGCGAATGAACACCTAAGCCGGTCATATCGTCTAGCTCGAGACACAAAAAACAAAGTTATTCTTGTTTTTCTCTTGTGTTTATGTTTAGGCTCCCAGTCTAGTTGTTCATTCGCTCGCATCGAACGCGGTTATTCAGTCACGACGTAATATCACACGTACTCAGTCAAAACTTGCGCATACCCGCGCTTCACGATAATGCTTCTCGATCTTTGTATTTTAAAAACGAGTCGTGCTCTCTCGCATTTTACTCTTTGTCTTTTCCCTTTCTTTTTCCAACTACAATTTCAAATTTCCTTTTAAAAATGTTAACTGACAAAGAAAAAATAATGCTGTTTCTTTATCGAAAATTTGGGGACCATATTAGATAATACGAAGAAGTAACTGATCTACACATTCAATGCTGCATATCCTGATCGCAATTTTATTTCTAAATCCACCGTTCAGAAGACAGTGATTCGTTTTTATGAAACAGAAACAGTTAAAGACCAAAATCCTTTCAAGCCTCATAACTCTAAATATGTCGAATAAAAAAATACTTTATTATAGGTTTTTGGAAAGTCCTTGAAATAAGCTACAAGAATATGTAATAAAAAGTGGGGGTCCAATTTAAAAAAATTCA